TAATAATAATAATAATAATTATTATTATTATTATTAAATTTCCAAATCAGCAATCATCGATTTCCTCGACTTCTAATAAAATATCAAATCGAAGAAACAAAATTGACAAATATAGTGCAACAAACACGATTAAAACGCGATATGAAATATAATAATAAGAGAAGCAAAGAACAAGGGCAGCAGACAGTTTGATGTGTCATCGTACTTACTCTTCCGAGACTGTCATTCTTCTGAATATGAAGTCGTGCAAAATACAGAATACAAAAGAGGCAAATGATGAACGAAATGAAACTGAACACCTCGAAGGGAAAGATGTGAAATTTTCAACATACGAAATGTAGAGAAATGATTCTTTCTTCTGAATTTTACGAATTATACCGTTGTTGAACGTGCACGTACACTCTTTGTATTATTTCGACTGAATTCAATTGATCTTGCAATACCGTGTTTTCCAAACTCTTTTGAATATTAACCATTTTTCAATATACGAAGCAAGAAATGCTTCCGACTAGGTATACTACGTGTTTGACAACCAGCCTATGTTATGCACCCTATTAGCGGGAAAGACACTTTCGAGATGTTCGTAAGTTTAATCCAACTTGCGTCTGCGTGTTCGAGCCTCCAATATTTTGTCTTTCTTCTTTTTCGAAACTATAAGTAATCATTGATGAAATACGTCACCGACAATCTTTGCACTAAATACTTGAAAAACAAACGCCACACCCAATCTTTTTTTTAATCGTACACAACTAAGTGCCGCGTATATCAAAACGTATCTGCTGCCGCGTAATTACTAACGAACTGACCGACACGAGCGGACTCGGAAAGCTTGGGCCTCAAGAGTGGGAGAACATTATACCTCTTGCTATAGCGTTTTCTTTACAGTCCCTACTATTCCTTCTCTTCCTACCCCACCTCTTGCAACCCATTTCTACCCCTACTTTCCCTTCCCGCTATTCACTGCTATGCCATGATACAGCTTGCTCCGATCTGGTCCGATTCATACCGCTTCATTCTGTTCCGTTCCATTCCGTTTCGCCCCATCCCATTCCATTCCATTCCGTCCCGTCCCGTCCCGAGCCATCACGAGGCGCACCGTTTCATTCCGTTCCATTCCGTTCCGTTCCTTTTTATTCATTTCTCTTTCATCTTCGTCGCACTACATTCGACGCTATGCCGATCATTAGACACATTTATGCCTTTTACATATAATGTAATTCAACAAATTCAAGTTTCAAAGGTAAATTGAAATGTGCCATGAAATACAAAAACTATGTGACACGTAACATCACGATGAAGCACTTCAACGGGCAAGACTTTTTCACATTTCGTTAACTGAGAACAAACATTTGCTTCGATGAATCATATTTAATACTTAATAATTAATATTGCATATAAACAGCACACAAATCACCTTACTAACTTCAATAGTTCCCCGATTCGTACAATATTTTACTCGTGTACCAACCTTCTAGTGGAATGAATCTGATTTTCATTGTACGGCTTCGTCTCTAACTCCATTACGCGTTACATGATTAGAGCAAATTGATGAAAATGAAATTTTTACTCGATACACTAAATTGGAAAGAAAATAAGGAAAATTATATTCGATGATTTTATTTCAAGTATAATAGATTAGATTTTAGGTTTACATAAAAAGCAAACGTCAAAGCAATTATTCCTAAGCAGTGGAGATGATGCGTGATATTGTATTCTTTTCCATTCTTTCCTATCAATGGTCACACGTGAAAGAAACCTACAAATCGCGTACTTAACAAAATGCTACGCCATCAAGTTGTCAGAGCTTCGTCGAAAATGGATGCTTCAACAGTCTGTTTATTGCCCTTAACTAACCGTTTCCTGCTTACTTCGTTCACATAAATATACTGAATGAATATGTATGTACACATTTACTTTCGCTTAAATTTTCACTTCAAAAACCTTCCAATTTTTCTCTTATTTTAAATTTGCAATAAACCTACGTACATACATACATATATACATACGTATGTATCGTATGAGTACGTGCGTGTACGTACGAGTAGATTTATATACTCACATGCATACACATTTGTGTTAAGAAAAAATAAGAAAAGACAAAAGCAAATTAAAATTACAGCGTTGAATTACAAAACATTCCGAGCCGTAGCCGCAACATAGACGTAGACGCATATAGAGTGCACGCGGTCAATGCTGCAGTGACCGTAGTAGCTTGATCTGCTTTATTATTGAAGCAACGTTTAGAAACATCTTTGAAGAGAAGTCTTTTCAAAGCTAGATGGAAAAGATAAGCTTGGGAAAAATTCATAAAAGCTATAGCAGCTTTTCACGTAGTTATCGTGATACACGAAAGCTCTTCCTACCTTTCTCCTCTTCTATTTCCTATTCGCACTTGTCGCTTAAACTTATAGTTCTTGCACGAGTTCACTAAACACTACGAACAATTTACATTATTCGTTACTACGTTAATTATGTCGACTACTGAGAATTCGGTAAAATTCCAAAATAGAAACAGCATTTAAAAAGCACTTGTAACATACAAGGATTTTGATTATTTGTGACCGTAACCTACTCGCGATCATTCAGCTACGGATCACCTCCTCCTCCACTATTTTCTTACAACTTTCACTCAAACACGATTATTCGAAATTTTCGGTAGCCAAATGTACGCTCTCTATTCCTGCGTCTATGTTCGGTAACAACATTGATGAAAAGATTGCAGTGCAATGATCGAATAAAGTATGTACGTCTATATCAAAATAAAACGAAACAACGATTACTTTTGTCAAAATAACGTATCTTGATTTGAATCGATTAATGCATACCTTCCTAAAATAGACTTCCTGTAAGATAGCTTTCCTAACGGATCATCCATGCATTTTATTTCGCAAACATATCACATTCTGGATGTGACTTGTTATGTATGCAAGTACAAAAAACAGGCTTACGATCAAAATTCAAACCTCTAAATCTTGACTCGATGATAAAGATTCAGACATAAGTGTACATACATAAGCACTTGGAAGTAACAACCTTATAGTGTAAGTACATCGAGCGCGTGCGCAAGCACGCGTTTGCAAATCCGGCACACAACTACATGCACACATACACAGTATTCAATTCTACTCCAGACCGGTCCAACGTGCACTGGCACCATTGCCAGCTGACATGCCGATCGCAGAAACCTCCAAAAATGAAATTGCGATTATAACACGTCAGAATTTCTCTCCAATTTATTCCTTGTTCTTTCCACAGTTTATTCTCGGTTTGTAAGTCTACCAAATTTTTATCAATGCATGCGCGTGCACGTGAACAACCTATCAAAAAACTTTCAATGTTCCGAAGCGAAGGCAAGCTCAACGGATCTATCATATATCGTCGAATATGTACTACCGAATAGTCTCGCGTTCAGCGAAACATCGGTTCAGAGAACCGCTGATTGAATTATGGAACGCGCCTGCGCGATATCTCTTTGTTACGGATAACGTTCTACTAGCGGCTTACGATTCTGTGCGTTACATCGGTGTTCAAGGAAAGTTTCCACAAAAATGTACTTTTCACATTGAAACATCTTTTTACATCCTCACTCGTCTTTAAGTATCCCGAATTCACCATTCAACCACTTGATCATTTTACTTTCTTTAACCCCCCCCCCCCAACATCGTTGTTCGTTACAATCTTCAAATGTCACCACATTATTGATGATTTTCTTTTGTAATTACTTGTACAAATATTACACTCGTTGTTGGGGTAATTTTTCTTGTAAATTAGATAACGTGTCGTTAATTCTCAGTAAACAAAACATCATTCTGTTAATATAGCTTATAGAAAAGCATTGCATATACGATGAAAAATGGTGCGCGTATACATTAAGGCGTAAGCATTAGAAGAAACGCATACCTTTAACAGCGCAATGTTAAATAGAGAAGAAAGGAAAGAAAAGACCCGAAACAAAAATTGCAGTTCAGGGTCTATAAGCTTCGATAGTTTGGTCGTAATTAGAAATTCCAACAGGTGTCGCTTCACCATGTTTGTTCGAACGACGATAAATTCTTAACGTTTCTATCTTCTTTCCTGACTTGATATATGCTTCTTCCAAACGAAATAGCAAGATAGATTGGAGACTCTAAATAAAACCTATTTTGCATTTAGCAATAAATATCAACTTTCTAAATATACAACATACGTAAATACACACACATATTCCATCTACACGAACTATTATGTATAACCTTATTTTGGTTGTTAATTAAAATAATCGTTATGTTGAGAATAAAAAAATTACGATGTAACAATATGTTAATAAAAGTATTATTCTTACCCGTTATTTATGCAATTTATTGTACAGTCAAATTATATTAGAAAAAACAATTACGGACACGACTACAAGTGTTACAAATTGTTTGTACATTTTATCGGCTCATGTCACTTTCGACCATATTTTCGTGCACCATAGTGATTTTACAGCGGGACAAGTATTAATATTAGTCGACATTAGTCACTGCTCACTGATATTTTTCATTGTAGTCAACAACACATAGGAACACAGTGATATACATCCTTGATTAGAATGTATGGTAACGTAGAAATAGAAGGTTCGCGGTGATAAGCGATAAAAGTGAGAAGAGCATAGAATGAGAAGCAGCAACAGAATGAGAATTTTCTGTAAAAGTTTATATTCTGGAAAATGACAAGCATGGAAGATGATATCGATATTTATGAAGATTTGCGAAGTTTCGAAACAACGCATAATGAGAACGTGAGTATTAGAGAATCATTTGACTCGATTCTATGGTATAACTAGGTTAGGTTGCACGTTAGATGATAAATTATAGGCATACACACATTCGTACATGGAAATTTGACGTGTTACACTATTTTCAGTTCATCTCAAACAATGAAGAAAAAATCGTAGGCGAACAAGTGCAATTGAAGAAACATATTGCAGAACTGATGGTGAAATTAGAGAATTCCCAAAAGGTGAATAAAAATTTGGAAATTAATTTATTTTCATTATTGAAAACTGCGAAAGCAGAAATTGCGCGAAAAGATAAGATGATAGACGAATTAAAGAAAAAGTAAGTGAATCTAAATATAAGTAATTTCCTACTGTCATATCGAATGGTTCCTAAACTTTGGTACAATTATTACAGTCTAGACGATGTAACATTCAAAAGGAGCATACATTCTAAACCTAGCAATTACATTGCTCATAAATCTGCTTTTTGTGAAACTAGTATAAATATGCATCACAAATTGCCAGATGTTTGTTTATTTCCTAATGAAACTGGTTTGGATGTATCACTGGTGGAATCCACGTACAGCCGAACCAACAAAGAACAACAAAGTAAATCCACTTTAATGCCTGTTACTACTGTCTTTGGTGAGCGATTACTTAAAAGAATGGTGGATGAGCAAAATTTAGAAAAAAAAGATAAACAGTTGAGTAAGTCAAATGGCAGTAATAACGCAGTTAGCGAGAACATCGAAGGATACGTAATCGAAAGTGATAAAGAAAATGGTTCGTTAGGCGATACTAATATTTGCAATACAAAGGAAATCCAATCTTCTGCGATAGCGCAGTACAAAGGAAACGAACATTTAAAAAAAAATTTAGCAACAGTACCAAAAATTACATCGAAAGATTTGCATATGAACAACAAGAACAACAACAAGAGTGAGATAAATGGCAGATTTGATCGAAGATCAACGCTTATCGGTAATTACAGTGGGAAAAGAACGAGCGAAGATGCAAATCGTCATATTCCTGTAAAACGAAAGAAATCTAACGCTGATGAATGTTTCTCTGAATCACTAAAGAGAGAAACAGAAGGCAGCACAGTGTTGGAAGCCAAAGAGAAGTATACGTTTCCTCCTTCCCGATGCGCCAACGTCGAATCTTCCGGTAATTTTAGGTGGTACAGTCGGAGCTCGAGCATGGAAGTGAAAAAGCACAGTTACTTTACAGACAACACTAATAAGAAGGAAGAGAGGAAAGATTCAAAAGATAAGAACGTCAGCGACGCATCAATCGCGACATGCGAGAAAAGAGAGGCAACCGCACGTTCTTCAAAACGGCATAACAAATCTACTGAAAATTCTACTTTAGAGGAAAGAAACGGTGGTTATCGTGGTTGCGTTGATACTGTTCTCAAGAGGGACGATTATCGAGTTAATCACAGTGAACGTCATAGAGGAGGTAAGCAAAGGGAGTATCATTATACCGAGGATTATCGATCGCGTGTCAAATCAGCGTCGTATGCAAAGTGCCGGGGGGAGAAATACAGTAGAAATCAGTATAACAAGCATACCACTACCACTACCACCACCACCGCCACCAGTTACGAAGAAAGATTCGAGAAACGTTATAATTTCCGAAGAGCCAGAGTTCCTTCGGATAAATTGAAACACCTGTCTAAGAGAGATTTCTCTAATGACCATGGCACGAGCAAACATTCGGCGATCGATCGAATTTCGATGGATCAAAAGGCCGGTGATGTGAAAAGAGACGATCATTTCAATGAATATGATTCGTCAGAACGAAGATTGAAGAAAGGTGTCGATAAAACGATTAAAAGGGAAAAGAAGCAAACCGTCGAATACAACAAGCATTCACATCGTAAGTTTAGCGCAGAGAAACTTAGCGAGCATTCAAAGCAGACTTCGGTTTCGGGACGAAGCGTTAAAAAGGACGATTTTGTGATTGAACAAATCAATAATGTAACCCCGGAAACAGAACACGAGCTCGGAGTGGACGAGGAATTACGAAAGTACGCCGAAGAGGAATTGCTAGATTCATGGACGGAGTTGGAAGACGGAGAAATTTCAAGCACTTCGAACAGCGTAACGCGCGCAAACGAGAAACGTCGCGAAGGATCGAAAGATCAGCGATGCGAACTGCCACTCGAAGAATTGGTAGATAACAATAATGCTGCATCGGTAACAAGCCTGAAATGTGACACAACAAAGATCGAAACGGTGGAATACGGATCAGAAGTACCTATTAACACTAATCTATCAAATACTGATGATGTTGTATCTTTCGCAATGGAGCGGAAAAGTTCTGAAAACATGGAGAATGTCGAGAATGTTGAAAACATTGAAAAATTTATTCGCGATTATACTTCGAAAAACGATAAAGTGTCCAAAATGATATCGGTAACGTCGGAAACGATACCTGTATCGCACGATACGCTAGCAAATGCTGGAGTAACGATACAAAACGATACTAGCGCCCTAAACGAAGATTCTTCTAACTGTGTAGAAGCCCCCGCGGAATGTTGCGCGGTGCTGACATCGAACGGTATCAACATCAAGATCGTTTCTTTCGATGAAAATCCTAAAACGAATAAGAAACCCCTAACAAAAATTGGAAACCCAGGGAATTTTCTCAGTTATCATGATGACAATGATGCCGATGTTGGTGCTGATCGTCTTGCTGTTCAGGAGGACGAACAAGCAGAACGAACGATATCTTTGAAACATGGAATAGACGATCGTCGGTCATCTAACGATAATCCAACCACGGAACTATACATGGCAACGGATCAATCCAAGTCGGAGAATATCGTGAAAGAATATCATGTTCCACGAAACATGTGCGACCTTCCCTCTACGATTCTCCTCGAATCGTCTATAAAAACGGATAAGAGAAACAACAATGATAACAATGTAGACATCGCTACTAACGATGACACTGGAAACAACCGCGATAATAATACTTGCAATGACCGTACCAAGGGTATAATTAATGAAAACCGAAATTCCGAGGACGACAGATTAACGACGCCAATGACAGTGACAAAAAGCGAATATAAAAATACAATCGTTAGAATGGAAACGATACGAGAGAAAGAAATGCGTAAACTCGTGGTGGAAAGAGGAGAAACACGACTACAAGAAATTGAAGTATCGCAAAGTCGAAATCAAAATAAAAATACCGCGAAAAATATATCGATAAATGTTCATGGAAAAATAGTTTTGTACGCGCGTCGCAGAAAACCCGTATGCTTGGCAAACAATAACGCAAATATGACTGTCCTCATAAATAACAAATCCGATGCTAAGGTCCATGCATCCAGTACGAAGGACGCAACGATGGTATAGAATTCTGTTTTAAAAAGTCGTAAGAACAATCGATCGTGATACTATGATAAAGATGAGTTAACCGATCGTTAAAATTAATAATAAGCTGAATTGAACTGGTCTGTACTTGGCGAGGGGCAAATATGTATTCTGGTTTAGCAACGTTTCAATATTACCCTGGTTATTTAACTGGAACAACAGCAACAACAACAAGATACATTCATAAAAACGTAAAATTCGTGTAACAGGTTCCGCGTTAAAATATATCGACATTAAATATTAATGAAGTTCCTACTATTATCATTACCAGTGCTGCTATTGCTGTTACAGCTACTATTACTACCAACATCATCATCGTCATCACGTCGTCACCGTTACCACCCACTATCACCACGTTACCGTTTGACCACGTCAAAAGAGAAATTTTGTAAATGCATAACATAAAATGTACATAAGATAAGTTTTAAGTCGTCGTGAACTGACGTTGTCGCTGTTTTTCCATTCCGTCAATGATAGAGTGTTCAAGATCGACACGAATTTCCATCTGATTAACAACCTTTTCTACTTTCAACTGTTTCTTTTTCTTGCGTGAAAATTAGTTGCGTTCGATATTTCTCAACTTTTGATCATTCAAATCTAATCGAAGGATAAATGCGTCGTACTAAATCACCTCGCTGCTACTATTGTTGCAGTCGGTAAACAACCACGACCGTTCGTTGAGCTCACAACGCCGTCAATGTCCGACAGTATGTTCACTCTAGAAAGCTCGCCAATTAGGTTAGGCAGACTCGACGCACGGCGTCCTAGCGTCGCACACGGTCTGCGCTGTCGCAGCCGGAATAGACCGAGTGAAACCGAAAGAGAAAGAAAAGAACAAGTATGAACGTTGATATCGTGTACACATAGTCGTTATTAATAAGCAAGATTCGACTAATTGTTCGAAACGCTTGAACGGGGATACAATTGGAAAATCCGCAGATATGTATAATTGAAAGAGAAAAGGGAAGAGAGGGAAAGAAAAAAGGGACGGACAGTTCAACGAGCGTGCACGAGTCGTCGCGCGTAACAAATTCGCGGCTACGAGTCATTCGTCCAGTCTAGATTCCGAATCGATTCTACCGTACGACTAACACGTTCGTGTCGCCAACGGACTTAAGCCGTCGCGTCGAATAATGGGCTCGATCGTTCTAAAGTCTCTCTCAGTTCTCCTCGGTATATTCTTCGTTTTCGTCGGTACCATGAAGCTGACTTCTCATATTAGCAAGGATCTTCACAAGGACTTGGTGAGCACTCGCAATCTATTATTAACGTTATATAATTCACCCTACTCTATACACTCTGCCGTTCGACAGTACGATCTCTACCCCTTGGCCCCAAACTTATTCATTCATTTTTAATTACATTCCAATTATTTCCCCCAATTTTTAGTCTTAATTTAGTCTCCCCCTTCAGTCAGCACGATACCGCCGATACGAGACATATACCTTTATCATCACCCCCTTTCTCCGTGGTGTACCTTGCCGATAACCCAACCAATTTCCGTGGTGTGTTTTATGTCCTATATAGATTGCTATATACATACATACCGCGCGTTAACACTACAGGGTTGTTATGACAATCTGTCAACTTTGTCAATCGTTCTTTCCTCTTCCCTTTAGCCACGACGAATCAACGTACATACTTTCTTCTGTATAAACGCGTACAATAAAACAGTCTGAAGAAAATGCGCAACCACATTGTCTATCGAATAAAAAAAATACGCCTCGACGTATATCGCACACGTGCCGCATTCATACACTACCACGCGTCTATCTTCCTTTTTCCCTCATCTTTTACTTTTCTCCCCTCTCCCTTTCATTTCCCTTATTTTTTTCGACAATAGCAAATTTCCGAATCGTCATTAACAACGACGATGGTTATTCGTTTTATGTTGCTTTATGTCATTTCTGAAAATTCACCTCGACCTTCTCTCAACGACAGAGGCGAATAAGTTCATTTCGTCAAAGTTCGAGTGACTGAAAATTTTTTTTGATTGCGATGAAAATTGAATTTAATACGTTCGCTTCGATACGTCCCGTGAGAAGATTATTTTCGTCTCTCGTTGTTACCCAATGTTCAAAGTTATATAGTAAACTATCAACCACTTGGTGACGCGCCAAATATTGCTCCAAGTGCCAGCGTCTACGATGTTTACTTTGCATGCACTCACCACTCAATTGTGTCTACAGAGAAAAGAGTATGTGAAGTATGCAAAAGTATTTCCACTGTCCGGTACACTGGACTTTAAAGTACCGAGTAAATGGTACAGAAGAGTTGTCGGATCGCTCGAGATAATTTGCGGACTCGCGATGGCTATTGTTCCAAGTCGTAAGAAAGTATTTCCTTCTTCTTTTTTTTTTTCTTTCTCTTGATAAAAATGTACTCAACATCATATCTTTGATTCATGCTCCTTCACTACTTTGTTCTCTTCTTGTTTTTTTCAGACAAAATAAAAAACGTATCGAACGCAGTGTTGCTGTTGCTGATGTTAATGGCTGTGTATTCACACTATATGGTGAACGATAAGTTTGAGCGGATTGCCCCAGCGCTGGTAAGGCTAAAATAAACAATTCTCAAAACTAAAATTACTTATTTGATGAAATTAAAAGAAAAGGAAAGAAACTGGGAAAAGAGAAGAAGCGGAAAAAGAGGAAGAAAAAGAAAAGAGAAAAAATAGGCAAAATTTGTTGGAATTCGGCTGCTTTTTCTTCTTTCTTTCATTTTCAGGTGTTCTTCTTCATGCTGACAGGCCGGCTAGTAATAGATTGGCAACTCAGACGAGAGGAGGTACAATCGGTAACGGTGAATGGAGTCGACGATAAAACCAAGAAACAAGATTGAATTCAAAGTTCTCTTATACGTACCCGTGCAACTAAGACTTTCCTTACCGTGTCAGTTAAGACCTGCAACAACGTATCACGACGTCAAAAGAATATTGGATCGCGATAAATGAGTCGTGTACGATCGCGATCCTCCATTTTTTACGCTCTGATTGTAGTTTTAATTAATTCCCATGCTTATTTACACGGCTAGGTTCACTCATCGAGCGTGCTCTTTCAAACTCACTCCCCTTTTAATTCCTTTTAATCTTTTCTTTTCGTATCGGGCTGTTGTTCCTTCAATTTTACGATAGCTGTGTTTTCTGGATTGATGGAAACTTTCGAAACCTCGAATCACAAAACCACTATAAACTTCGATCATTAGCCAACACTATGTTAGCTTTAATCAACGACAAAATGTCATCAAATACTAGCTCAAGCACAAGGTATTAACTGCCATTCAAATTAATGTGTTCTCCTTGATATCGTATTAAGATGTACATGTGCTTGAGATGATAACTAACAATGTCGTTGTTCGATTGTAACGCACACGCCGCGTTTTCTTCGCATTCATCCGTGTTTTTACTTTTTCGCTCCCGACAGGATAAAAGGAGACGAGCATCGAGTAAATTTATCAAGAAGGTGGTAGTGATGGTAGCGAAAGAACGAAAGTGGCGAAGAAACACGCGGTAAAGTACATTTATTCACATGTAGAAACGATAATACGTTTGTTTCAAATTATTAACGTATCGATCGCGCGTAAATTGTTTCAGAAACCATCTAAAAATCGAACCTATTTAGTTGGTTTGCTCGAGTTGCTTAAACTTTTAATCATATCTTTAAGAACAACGTAAGATATTTTAAGTGTAGAAAAAACCATTTTTTTTCCCGACTACACGTATTTATCATATCATCTAGTTACTCACTTCTGAACTCTTTACATGCCTTAAACTACACACAAACACACACTCATGCGCGCACTACATGTGAACGCGAAATTAAAAAAATATAGTTAAATACATCAAAGTTAAACTTATATACTCGCGAATGGAAGAGAAAAATTCATTGTGATTTTCGGTTTCTACTTTTATCAAAATCCATTTTAAAGTTCTCCATTTTTCTTTCTTTATACCAAAACTGAGGAAAAAAATTAGAGAATTTATCGATGTACATATACACGCACACATACATTCACGCGATACACGTATTTCGGAATTATGAGCAATACAATGATACGAACGTCGATTTTATACGCAAGCAGGACGAATTTATATTTCAAAAATATCTTTGACGTTCAGTGTGGTGGCTGTAATAATGTAAACAATTCAAATAAATAACTTATCGTTTTTACTCCTGCATCGATTAAATTATAGATATTGATGTTTACGTTACTCTTTACAAGCGATAAAGGTCAATCCAGCAAGTATCCATTTTCTCGGCGAATCTATCAATTGCCAAAGTTATTCTATCGATGCTTTCAAGCTTAATTTCGATTAGGCCACTTCTTCAGCGGTGGTTAAGAGATGCAAAGCTTTTTGAAGATTCAGCACGGCCGTAGGCACATCGTCGTAATTTAAAGCGCTTCCAGCCCATTTGATAAACTTTTGTGCTTTGTTTATATGTTCCACTGACAATTCCACTCCACCTGTTAAGTAACTATTTTTAACGCAAGCAAGCAATTGCGTAACAATTAGACGGATTGCTCTTTTCACCACTTACCTTCCATTCTTGTAACTGTACTACCGTCGTTGTTTTCAGAGGACCATACCCCGATATTTCCTTTACTAGTCGTACTATGCACACCCTCAGCTGGATTAGTATTACGAATATCGACCAATTCATCTGTATTTACCGTCTCATCTCCTTCCTCTTTTGATTTCGCCGCCAGACCACCGGTATTATCTGGTTCTGTTACGAACGATCAAACGGAGGAAAATGCTATTTCATGTTTGTATTCGAGTATAATCATAAACTTTCGTTGGTAAACAATATACACTCACTTTCCTCGATATTTTCTTGATCTTCTCCAATATTCTCATCTAGATCAGCATTGTCGTTATTGTCTTCCATGGGACCTGGTACAGGTTTGATATTGTTCTTCAAACAATTATCTATGTACGCTGCTTTCCATTTCGCGTATCGTCTGTTTTGCGCAGCTTCTTCGCTTAATTCACCAAAAACGGTCAAAACGTCATAAAGTAAAGCAGCTGTGAGGAAACACTTTATCACGTTTTTTCCAAAATTACCAGCTCTGTCTTGCTTATCACCTGAGAGAAACAATTTTAATGCCAAATTTTCCAAGTGTGCCTGTGCAACTATATCGTTCGTGATGGCTTCGTTATCACGTAATTCCTTTTTCGTTGTTTCTAACCATTCCATTAATGTCAGTAAGAAGTTCGTTTCTTTCAGTGTCTTAGTCGAAAGCTTCAGTCCTGTTTCTTGTGCGTATACTCGGCCTATGAAAAAAATCAATCATTATATCGTCCGAATAATTCATAACGGTGCTAATCGTTTTTCTATAATCTACGTTCTATAAGTTAAGCTGAAAGCAAACACGTACACCAATAACTAGTAACGGGATCCCGCTGATCGACCAACTTCGCTACTTTCAAATATTTCTCGATCTTTTTCAAAGGCTGTGGTGCCTCCGGTAAATCTGGCCCAATCATTTCGATCGATGGATCTTCTTCAGATTATTACTTTATTCCTTTTCTCTCGTCCTTTAGTTACTCTCTTTACGTTCCTTACTGCAACTGCATTTTTCCTATGACAATTGTGCAACATTTACAACAAATTAGCGTAAACGTTATTGATAGAAAAGATTGATAGTACCTTTAAACTATGAAGAGATAGGCCAGTAGTGTTTGCGTTGACTATGCTTGTTAACCTCGATGCTCGTCCGTAGCCATTTGTACGAAAGATTGAGCGAGACACCACCAGAACACTAATAATAAATAGGTTTATTTTATTGATTCAATTGAAATTATTTATTCCGTGATTATGTATTAGCAATATTGTAATCGTGATGATATATGTCAATTTCTTTTACACGTTATCGTAGTAACATGAGTTAAAGCAGATTACGATAGTATCATCACGAATGAGATAAAACTTGTTGTACCTATCATGAAAGAACGCAGTTGCTCTTATGTACATATGTATGTACTTATATGTTTCTTCTTTCGTTTTTACCAATGTATTCAACACACGCAGCAACGTCAAAATGTTTTACTTGTTATGTTATTTTCACTGTGGAAATTTCCTTCAACGATATACTGCCAACGGAAAAAGAATAGCAAATAGATCATGAAAATGCGTCATAAGTTTTAGTAGCTATCGTCACTTTTCTAGTTTATAATTCAAAAATCGTGGGTTCTAGCAATCACGACACTGTTCATTTCAGCGTTTACTATTACCTACTTCAAGTTAAAAATAAACTTTGAACCTTTCCCTCCTTCAACAAAGTATGGAATGATGATGTTGAAGAGATTTTTAACATTGCGCATATCAAATAGTACATCATCCTTAACGACGGGTAAGTTTTATATTCAATTTTTATAATTCTTTCCACTAACCATTTCCTTCTTCTATAAGGCGATTCAACATATTTTATTTTACAATCTTACTCAACCTTGACAAATAATCCAAGCAAAGTAATCGACGAAAAGCTTTTTCAACAGGTACTTCATCAACAGCTAAGGTTATATTTCGGACATTATCGAACCAGGAGGACATTGATATTGTAGAAAAATGGGATTTATTAAGTGCTGTTTGTTTAGAACGTCATCCTGTGATTACGAAGCCGATGGTAGATATAGAAGCAAGATATCAAAAGATGTTACAGCAGATAGAATTTGAAAACAGTAAAATATCAGATTTTGATATACAAAAGCAAACGCAACAAAAGAAAGAAAACAAAGGAACATTCTCAGCTGAGAATATCGCTACTAGTCAAACCATACAAGATCTTCAAGATTCTTGGGAAGAGGAACTAACGAATTTTAAATTTGCACCAAGAATAAGTGGTACACATCTTTATGGTTTATTCGTGTGTGTGCGCGCGCGCGCGTGTGTGGTTTAACTACAATACTTTTTACAATTCTATTTACTTCAATTGTAGATGTTAAGGAAGATAACACAGTTGTATCACTGAATCGGAAACTAGATAAAAATCTAGTATTACTAGTAGAACAAAAAATAGGTAACTCGGATTTTTGGATTCCTCCTCAAGGTATAAGAAAGCATAGGGAAACTATGATACAAGTAAGATTCATAATACATTCTTCATCTTTTTCACAATGAATGCAATTATAGACCAACCTTTGTGGTTTCAGACTGCATATAGGACATTACAAGAATCTTGTGGAAATAATATAAAGGTAAAATTTTATGGCAATGCACCTATAGGGTTTTATCAATATAAATATCCTAGACATATACAGGAGAACGGACGAAATGGTGCAAAAATTTTCTACTTCCTGGCAAAATATATAAGTGGTAATATTTCTCCCAATGTAAAACACTGCTGGTTAGACAGGGATGAATTGAAAAAAATTGTACACCCTGACGTTCACAAGGGTTTGTCCAAATTTTTATTACCTGATTAAACTATCATACTACAGAAAAGCACAAAATTTTCAAAAGTATATATGCAGGAAAATAAACATTGACTATGTACTAGTTTGCCTTTATGCAATAAATGAAATATTTGAATAAAGAATCTCGAGTCTCCTACCTTCACCTGTACCAGTGGAAACGTAAAACACTGGGCTAGAAGGATATAAGTAAATAACTTTGTTCAATCATAAATTACAATTCGTGGATATATGTTTAATAAAGGTATACTTATTTTTGTAAAATAAACTTAAAAGTATTTGAAAATAAGAGGACCATATTCTTCTTAAAATTTACCACATCTTCTTCTTCCAGTATATCTTGAATCTTCTCGCACTTTTTTCCCCTGTTTTCGTCGTCTCTCCTTTTTCTCAATAATCCAGTTCCTACTATTTTTGAGCGACTTACCTCTGACCTTTCTCATTTGTTCCCTGAAAATAAGAGACGAAAATTGATCGATCGGTTCTACAAGAACATTAAAAGCAGAACCAAGTTTATCAGTGTAAACTAGAGCGCAACGAAAAACCGGACCTTCTAGATGCGTAAGAGATAACCGTTTCGGCGTCATTTACACCTATAGCTTGCGGAAGAACAGTAGGTCCACCAGTCATTAGAACCAAGAAATACTTTTTCGCTTTTGTACTGTTGGGAAAGTCTACAACTACACCGCCATAAAAACCCGCCTTTGTCGCTTGTGTTGTGACTAGTTCAATTTGTTCGCCATTTTCGGGATAAAATTGAAACACAGCTCTAGCAGATCTTGATAAACATGAGAACAATGTGGAAAAGAATTTATACAGTCGTTTCGATGGATTATGAGAGCTTTTATCAGCATTGCATAACCATTGTAATGCAGAAATACTGATTGCTCCATCAAAGATTCCAGCTTTAAAGGGCATTCCTTGACCCATATCTCCTAAAATCAAATCTCCATCCACTTCCCTTTCTAAAGCTATACCTGTTACACAGATATAATGGAAATGATTAAAATCAAACAAGAGACAAATCATTAAAAGTAACAGATTTTGCATATACTTGCCAAGCATTGCCCAAGATATATCGACCCCTGTCCATATATGTCCATATTCTTCAATTACATTGCCACTTAAACCAGACCCACACCCAATGTCCAAAAGCAAGAAAGTTCTATCCTCTGGCAGTAATAGAAGCTCTATGGCACGTCTACACATTTGCTCCTGTATATCTACCATTCGTGAACTGTGGGATTATAATTTTAAAATAAGTTTATTCAGAGACCAATGAAAATATAAAAAAAAAATGTAATTATTAAACACGTATTACGTATTAGGATTAGAAAACTTACTTTTGTGTGTATTTTCGTGCTTCCGATTCATTGTAAAACTACAAAAAGAAAAAGCAGATGAAGATGACGATACGATCAATTTAAAAATTAACCCTTACCACTTCGGGCGGAGCTAAGTGTTCTGGTCGTCTCGACATTTTATACTTTTTCACGTTCGTCGAGTACTTTCCTGTTTGGTGTTATTATTTGTTTCATAACTATCACACTTTCTAACCTATCACTTCATGATCGTACACACGTGTTCATTAGTATTCACATGTTTGGACATTTTAGAGTCAGCGATACAAAAACAAAATCGTGAAACTAACTTTACAGAAAGTATCGCGATTATTTCCTTCTAAAATTGCAGTTCAACGATGTACTACAATAGAATTAATTTTTATAGTTATTTTAAAAAACGACCCATTTCACTTCGCGCTTAACCTAACCTACCTACACACATCACTTGTCGCTACTGCTCATGGATACGATCGCAGTTGTACTTACTTATACAGTATTCAAACTCTGCTAATTCATATACAAATCTTAAAACAATGGCATAATCATTTTCTTGCTTTATAAAAGAAGTTGATTCATTTCAAATACCATTCGATTGTTCCTTTTAATGCATGTAGGTAACATTTCAAATCACTACATTTACGCATCTTTATTCAATGCACGTGTATAATCGAAAAAGGTGTTTCGTTAAAAATTTCATTTGTTTTTTTCATGAAAACACTATTAAATTTAAAATTTATGATGTGACAAATTGTATTAATCACACTATACATATGTACTGTGTCACTGATAGCTAATCTTTAAATATTTCTCTCTTTTGAATCTCAATGATGATCATTATGCTTTTTAATCATTTACTTTATACATATATCACAACACAGACGACGTAGAGGATAAACCTAGCATTTAATGTATTTTTGTGTCCAACGTTCTGAAATATCGATCGTGTACACGATACAATTTTTTTGTTGTCTGTTAATATCCTTAGATCAGAGCTCTTCTACTATAGTATCAGGCACAAAATTTCCATCAAGGTAAAAAAAAAAAAAAAAAACAAATGCCCGTGAGTTTGGAATTACATACAATCCAACCATCAAAGACGGTAAAGTCGAGAGATGTAAAAAATCATATGTATTATAAGATAAGTGTACAAAACGTATTTTATAAAGAGTTACAATATACCAATATTGTTTCACAGCAATTTACAGTCTATTTATTTTTCCCTTACAAACCATGTCCATTTCCTTTTGCATAAGTGATGTTAAAGGAATGAAAAATTGGAGTTACCTTTCAGAAGCATATAGATATATATACAGTCTCACCCACAAGAGCGTGTCGGCGATATCTTCGAAACTTGACATCTAACGAGGGGGAGATAAGAATAATGTAAAAAAACACAGACTTCTCTAGTACGCCTTGACTGAATACCTTTCAGTTTCGTTTGCGACACTGAAAAGAACGGAGCTTCCCGAGATGAGTGCTGCGTACACGAAACGGTTAGAGGCGGTATTCTTACGTTGCCATCCAAAAGGGCCAAAATTGAGTTTTACGAGTGCCGCTAAATACCTGCACAAGTCGACACAGTTTGTCAAGAAGTGGGTAGAACGATACAAGGAGACAAAAAATGTCGATGACCTTCCAAATCGAGGTTTAAAGCAAAGCAGCGATATCCGAGAAAATAAAATGATTCTCCGACTGTTTGAGAAAAATCCGACTCTTTCACTGCGAAAAGGCCAAGCATTTTTGGCTAGAAAAGGTATAAATGTCGGTATAACGACATTAAAACGACGTTTAGACGAACATGGTGTCAAGTGGCATAGTACATAGGTCTGGCGTGGGAAAAGCACAAAACGCCATCACCGTACTACCTTGGCCATCCCAGTCCCCTGATGCAAACCCTATAGAAAATGTGTTGTCCATAATGAAGTGCAAGCTGAGAGGAAGACGTATTAAAAAAATAAGAACACTCGTACACCACATTCGGAAGATATGGAGGTCGCTGCCTGTATCGTACACCGAAAAATTAGTCGACAGTATGCCGAGACGGTGCCAAGCTATAATTGCTAATGGAGGAGATTGGACCCGTTATTAAGTAAGAGCGTATTAGTGTCTTAGGTGTAGATTGGACCCATATAAAGTTTTTTACAAATATATAAATATTTACAGAAATATCGCCGACACGCTCTTGTGGGACAGACTGTAAAGCTACTTATGAAATTATTGAAAAACCGTAAAGACAGGCGGTATTGTTCCCGACATCACGCACTGTGGTAGTTATTGTTAATAACTAATTATCGAATGGGCCTAGTAAATTAAAATCTATATGTAAAAGTTAACAAAGGTCCACACTTCATTCTTCAATTCTAAAAGTTCACAAAATCATCGTAATTGTTGAGTTATTAATGATTTTTCCCTGGCCGACTTTATGTAGCGTCTGGGAGGCGGCCATTACGGCTCGCGGACCAATAGGAAACGTTTCTCTCTATCCTTGTCGCACACTAGTGCTTTTCTTGTCTAATACCTCTGTTTATATTCTGTGTTCCTATTAAAAAGTCGTAGTTCGCGACATCAGATGCGATATGGCGTTAGTTTAACTTTTCAAATTTTCTGTCCTTGTCTATCACTATTTCTCTCCTTGTCTTACTCATTATTCTAGTGCTATCCTTCTCCACACCTATTACTTTCCTTGTCTAACTTATGCCTCTGGTTCTATCCTCGTCGTACCCTACTCCTTTCTAGCGCATGTCTGTGTAGTGCTATCTTTGCGTACACCTATTTCTTGCTGTGTCTAACTCGTTTCTGTTTTACTAAATACCTCTGCAAGTTATCTTTCGTAGCGAGCATGATTAAATATACATATACGGGATTGCATGGGCAGAACTGTTCACGATCTTTAAACAACAGTAGAACACGCGCATGTGATGAATCATCTTCTGATATAGACACAGTTACGTTAATTTCTTATTTGCAGTTTCACAGTTCCGTTCACTTCCAAAACCACTGCTAATATTGTAATCTTATTCTACGTTAAATCGGTAACGTTGGGATCGACACGAAAATGGTAAGGGTCTTCTCGGCACCAAAGTCCCGTACAAAAAGTCCCACTAGATCTATCCTGTACGTCGTCTGTGATTATATGTTTATTCGATTTTTTGAAAAAGATTAAATAAGATTACATATACAGTATACAGCGTTAATATTGCGTTATTGTAATAAACCGGAAAACACGTTTAATTTACAAATGTACTGTATGACATTTAAAAGAAATTGTCAAGGAGTGGAATGGAGGGGGGAGGTTTGAAAAAGAGTAAGAAAAATTAATGTTTAGCCGTCACAAAGAATTGTTTAGAATAATTAGACTATGGCCCATTACATAGATCCAATTTCTATCTACTGTTATTTGTAAGCAGCAATGTTTAATTCTGATTTGTAATTGAATTTTAACACATTGCAAAACTGTTCGAGGATTTTTCCTCGGTTCATATCGCGTATCGCTGTGACTACTGCATGACAAGATCACTCACTGTTAAAGCATATCACTCAGCGTAGCTTGCAAGTAATGTGCGGTATCCAGTGCTTAACGTTGTATTGGGATTCAACCGATTAGCGAATTACAGAAAATACAATACATAGATGCCTTTGCTACACAGAGTTGTGTATTACCTACCAAAATTAAAATTTTTATGCAAAAGCAATTTGTTCGTTTAGTTTACATTAAAGAGCAATCATACTTTCGCGATACTTCATAGAGAGTACATGTCCTTTTTAATAAATAATCGAACAACGCAATTTTTATTAATACTCCGAGAATATTTATGATGTTTCAAAGAATTAATCAAAGGCATTTCGATGCCTAGAAATCATTGTTAATAATTTTGTAATATAAGGCAGCAAAATTAAAAAATAGTAACAGAAGTAATACCAATAATGAACGTGGTACTATCGATAGTACGGAAGTAGCGATAGCGACAGCGACAATAGTATCAATGCCGGCAATAATAACAATAATAATAATAATAATGATAATAATAATGATGAGGATGACGACGACGATGAAAATAGTCGTAGTAGAGTAGTGGTAATGATAATGATGATGATAACAATAATGATAGGAATAATATTAACTAATAATTAAAATTACATATGTTAACGCAGCAATGAAAATGATACTAGTAGTAGTAGTTGTAGTGAAAGTTGTGGTAGCAATAATTGGGGAGAATAAGCATAATAGCAAGAGCAAGTTAAATGGAAATAACAGAAAGTAGTTGCGGTAAAAGCATCGATAATTGTAATATCAATGTTAGTCACAATGAGGGTGATAAGAGCGATGACGGTAACGGAAATAATAAGAAGGATGATAATTATTATGAGTGTAATAATGCGATAGTGATAATGAGAATTATTGAGAAATTATAATAACGACAGCGACAATGTAAATTATGATACACTATTTCTACAGTTCCAACAGTATCTTGATACTGGAAACGGCTTAATCCATAGTCTTTATAAATTCAATCGCAGAACAAAATTGTGTCCACCAATATTGTTCTTCTCCCCCTAATCGATTTCCATAAAAACTATCCACGTACTGTATGGTTGAGAGCAAGGAGGGCGGATTAGTCTGAAAAAAAAAAAAAAGAAGAAAGAACGTAAAATGATTATTAAATTTCAGCTACTACTATCAATAAGAACAATGTAATTATGAATCGAGACGAAATATTGATAAAGAGCGGAAAGAACGAGATGGAACAAGACTTGCTTTAATGATAACGTAGACTAATACAGGTATCAGATCATCGGCTGCAGGTACTCCTCTCTCGGTTGCCATTGAAAGTAGGTTCATAATGGTAGTAGCACACCGAAAGACGCATTGTAGCTTGTCCCTAGGAGTTTTATAAGCTGATATCACAGCCAATTCTGCCTGAGCCCACGGCCAGGGGCACTCGTAATGATATATCTTAGGAATTCTTAGGTCTTTATGATTCGGCGTCACTACTTTGGCCAATTTTTTTATGTGATCGTAAAGTAATTGGTCCCTGTAAACGTCACCGTCCCCGTTCGGATAGAGCGCATTATGATAAACACGCGCCATCACGATCCTTTCCACTACGATTCTCGCCAAATTCAGTTGATTTTCACTGGCACCTAAACCGTACGATACGTGACACATCATAGAACCAATAATATGTGCAGAATAATTACGAGGATTGCATCGTAATAATATGTATAATGTAACGTATTCAGCAAAATTGTTACTCACATTGCCAAATTGGATCATTGTCCATTTTTGCGTGAACTTTACTCAGGAAGCTATCGACAAGATCTTGCTTCTCATCAGCCAATGTTAACTTTTTGAATTCATCGCAAAAACGTAAAAGAAGCGATTCTCTTTTCTCTAAGAAAACTCTCACGCATACAGATACGAGATGATTATTAACGGCATCGCGGTCGCATTTTACTCTAACGCACAATCTATTCGAAAATTGTCATCGATAGAAAAATTGTAGTTGTTTATAGTTGTTTTAGGAAGCGAGTATCGGTGGTGAGATATCGTACCTGTCCAAGTGTGCTAAGGTAGAAAGCAGTCCTTGTCGACATCTAATTAAGTAGGCGATGTATGGTGACCGTTTTTGATAATCTTCGCGCAATGATCTGAACAATTTTCTACACCCGTCGTCGTTAAATAATCGAACGCAACGCAGCGTTTCGTGAAGATGCGCTATTAATGCTCTGTCTTGCAAATTGATGGCTTCTGCCAACTGTAATTGCAGGAAGGCGACTAATTCGTTTTCTTTTTGTGACCAACAATTCCGCTGTAACAAATCGCATGTACTGCATTATAATACATATGGTATATTGCAGCGGCATGCATTTTCTCGCAGAAAAAACGTTACCTCGGACGTAGCGCTCCAAGGATTATGCTGGAGATCAGCAGTACTAAGTACCATTCGTAACTTCCTCTTCGCATCGGCAAACGCATGCAGGAGCTCAACGTTATTCGTGTCCATAAAAAGTCTCTCGTCTTCGGTTGGATCTTTCGTACGAGACTGATTGCTCTCTATGGACGCGGTATCGCTCGCTGCGCTCGGTTTCCTCCTGTATTTAGCTAAAATATCGTCCGTACTATCTGAAAAGATATCAAATTTCCTCGTACTTTCCACCGTTTTGTAGCTACTAATTATTGAATTCGATTATCGGGGGATATAGAAAAGAAACAAGGGGTGGGTGTTAAAGAAAGGAATATTTACCACCGGTCCCATTACCGGACGATGACACGTCTTCTGACATTATTCTACGTAATCTGTGCCGTCCTACGTCGATACCATCTCCGATCGTTTCACGATCGTAACATCTGCCGGCAATGTCGTCCGAACCACGATGAATCACTTTACCCCGTCGATTTCTCAGGGACATTTTCAACTTCCCAAAGAAGCTTCTTTTATTCTTCTGATCGTCGTCCAACAATTCCTTATCCCCACGCTCCGCAGTCATATCGAAGCTTATACTTTTCGGTATAGCTCCGCTGGACACGTTCGGTTTCGGAGAGTCATTCGTCGAGATATCGATCGCATCGCAAGTTTCATTCACCACCAGTGTTCCCGGACCCGACAGTGGTAACTCTGACCTCGTGTTCTTCATACGTGACTCGGAGCCAGAGCTACTGCTTGATGCCAAACTGCCGGTACTTAATCCAACAACGCCAATGTCCTGACCACTTTCGTTTACATTTTCTTCGACCGAACCGACGCTACTTTCCAATTCCTGCGACTAAAGAAATTACACCCTTTAAACATTAATTATACTGCGATTATTTACTTGTATTTAACGTTTATGCGTCAAAGCAGTAACAACAACAATGATCGTGGTCGTGTCAGCTTCATCGTTATCTTTTTCTATTTAAACGAGGGAACAAACCTCTGTTTTCGCGTTGCTGTTACGTGACTTTTCTATGTTCAACAAAGTAGGCGGCGAGATATGATTAGCTAATAACAAAGCTGGCGCAACGGCTGCTACGCCGATATGATTGTGAGTTGAACAAATTTGCCGCTCCATCTGACCCTTTCCATTTTCGATGTGAAGTTTGTCTATCAGATGGACCAGTCTATCTTCGCACAACGATTTATCGTAATCTATCGCATCTCCAGCAATGTTGTTGGCATTTTTGTCGATATATTCAGTCATGCTTCTTTGATAATCGCATCTGATTACACTCTGTACAATTACATTCGAAGAGGATGCCGTGGGAGATGCTGTCGGTGAAAGAGAGAATGAACCGGTTCTAGAAAATCGTGTATTCTCACGGCTCACCACCGATACCATCGATTGAAGGTTCGCCGCCGTTGAGACACATTCGGTCGGTACAACATTTTCTAAAAACGAACGACATGTCAAATAAATACGTGTACGGTTTCACGTAGTTGGATTGAATGAACAAGATACGTATAAGATCGTTTAGCTGTTCTTACGGGAAATCGCCGGTGTTAGGGTCTTTTCGGTAGTGTCGCCTTCGCTACGAGCTTCAACTTCGATTTCCGATCTTGCAGTATCGTCCGATCTAAAAACATGACAATAAATAATGCAACTCCTCCTCTTCCTCCTTCCTCTCCTCCTCCTCCACCACCTAATCCTACATTTTATACATATTTTAAGTTTTTCTTTCCTTTTCTTTTCATTTTTATTTTTACCTCGCAACGCTGGCGGTATCGTCAGTATCGACTTCCGTTAATCTTTCAGAATCGCTAGCTAATACATCGGTGCTCCAAGCTTCAGATGCAGTTTCGCTGACGTCTAACACGGCTTGCGGAACTGATTCTGACGTTGTTGCTAAAACTGGTGGGGTTCGCTCGGACGAAGGTGGATACGATATTTTTTCTTGCTGCTCCACTATTTCGCTATCCGAGGCCAGGACATCCGTCGACCAGGTATCGGATACCATCGAAACAGTTTCATCACCTGAAAATCCATATAGAAAAAGGCTAGAGTAATACACTTTCTTATTTCAGAATACTGATTAAATATCCGTAACATACCTTCGATCATTTTCTTAATTTCAAATTTGCAAAACTTATCGTCTATCTCGGATCGACTCTGTTTCGTCGGTATATTTGATGGAGGTAAATCTAATTGTCGCGTTTCGCCCGCTGCTCGTCCTTCGTCTCCTTCAGTGATCTGAGACGATGGGGTGTCGCGACCTTTTGCAGATTGTATCAAATTATCAAATCTTCTTCTACTCGAGGCAACTTTATTAATGCAAACCTGATATATTGGGCGTTCCTCGTCCCGATACACTCGCAGATACCATGTCTGAGAGATTATCGTTTTGATCTTCCGTTTCTAATTCCAGCGATGAAGCAACGCTGTGGTTCGAAGCAGCTTCTGATACAGCTTCTAAATTATCCGAAGTATTTCCGATGAAACCTTCGAATAAAACTAACGACATTCAAACGTCAATACTTATCTCTTTTTTTTCCAAGGTACAAGTAATTACCATGATGTATCATTACTCTGTATAATGCCACTAATTGTAAAGATAGCAAAGTGTTCTATTTCCTATTCGCTGTATATAATTAATCTCGAGAATGAAGATAAGTGTAAATAGTCAATTCCAAGTCAAAATCAATTTGAGTAATGTTCAATATTTTAATACCTTCATCGTGGGACAACGAAAACCGCGTTTTTTTCTCTTGCGTTTCTATACGTTCAACACTACAACTTTCCCGCCTATCGTGCACATTAGATATATCATCCGCAAGATTCAGAGTAACTGGTCCGTTTTCCATATTCGATTGATCAAGTTCCGTGCACAAAACCTATAGAAACAAAGAAACGAAGAAAAAATGGGAACTTTGGGAGAAAAGGAAATGTTCGGTTTAGTTGAACATAGCTTGAAACTATACGAGAACGTACTTTCTGTTCACTTAAAAGTCCTACGAATTCTCCGGTGTTTGGTCCAAATGGAATAACAAGAACATCTTGAGGATTTTTATCGACGGACTCTTCTTCAGGGGTGGAAGTTCCGTTCAGTTCATCTGCTCCATCGTTAGTCGTATTAGACGAATACGACGACGACGACGACGACACCCGTACTCCTCGACCTTTTCCTAGAAAACAAAGCTAATTTTTCTTACTTGTTCTTCATATTTGTGCAGTTGTTTAATGCTCGAAAACCGCATATATGTATAATACAATAGAGGTATAAGCGAAATCAAAGCATCGTTTCAACTGAACGTAATAAAAGTTTTGTACTGATCAAGTTAGAAAGGCAAAAGATGACAACAATGACGATGACGACGACGACGACGACGACGACAACACAACAGCATCATTAAGCCATCGAGAAACGAAGAGAATAAAACTGTTGCTTGAACAACTAATTACCTTTTCCCAGCAGACTTCCCTTCTTATTATTGCTGCTTTCCAGCGAAACATTATTACCCAATTTATTTGCGGTTATGGAACCGGATGGCAACTGGGAGAGCATATCGATTAACTGCTTCGAGTCGAACGCGGCAGATCGCGAGCCGTTCTCTATCGTTGTTTCAGCAGCTATTGTTTGCAGAAATGTAATCAATGTGTTCAATTCTGTTTCTGTGAACAATGCAGCAGATCGGGAAAGCCCTCCAAGTTTATTATTCTCGATGATATTAGGCTCTTCCTCAAGTTCCTCTGTTGCACAGTCTACCATCGCGTCTATTATAGAAGAGACAGAATCCTTGTCGAATTTCTTATAAAGATCGAACGTTTTTCCGTCAACAGTTTGGTATTTCATTAGGGAAAGCATTTGCAAAATTTGTCCAACTTGCATCAGATTGAATCTGGCAACGTAGCTGATAGGTGCGTCGGTAATACCATACGGCTCCGGGTTCACTATCGCAGGACATATAAAATACGTGAAAACCAAATCGGTGCACATCGCGTGCACCTCTTTGGAATCAACGTTCCCATTTTTCCCCAAAAGTCCCGCCATCTGTCTAACCAACCAGCATACGCTACTGGGAAAACAATGCATATTTTCCCGTATACTGACTATAAATCGTTGCGTAATATGAAATAAAGAATTAATCGTCCAGAGCCTGTAACGTTGCAATTTTGCTTCGTACTCGGGGCTACCTTCCTTGCCAAATTTCTTCAATCTTTCCGACGCAGGAAACCTTACGGGTGCCTTGTCTGGGTCGATGTCAAGAAACATCTCATCCTCCATTAATAACTGTACAATAGGATTATGTAAAGCGGCGGTCAAGAAGAACTTGGCCGAAAATAGACTCTCGTGAAAAACTGAGTAAAACCTAGAAAAAGCACACGTTCCGTGTCGGAGTAATCTTCGTGGATTATCCGATGGTACAATCTGCAGCAGCATCAGATGTTTCAATAACTGCAGAACCAACATTTTATCTTCAGGTAGCAAACAACTACCATATAAACCCGCTGCTAGTGACTGAACAATACTTTGCACCAAGTCTGGCAATAATTTGTCCCCCTTTACCAAACACAGTGCAAGCAGCTTTGGAAATTTTCTAAGAGCGCTTAAGAATTCCCCGTACGATAAACATGCCTGATAACGTAAATACTTGTACACATCAATGAAATGTGAATTTTCCAATGTATTTGCTCTCTGACAGCAAGATGCTGGTGTACAGTATGGTTTAGACATTATCAATTGATTAAGATTAACTCTTTGCTGCGCCGTAATCCATGCTTGTTGAGCCAAATTCGACGACGCGTACAGCACCTGAACAAAATTCAATCTATTCTTTCTTGCTTTTCTCTCATTCCTCCTCCTTCCATATTCTTATTATTGTTTCTTTCTTGATTATTTTCTTTCTTTCTACGTGAATTAATCTTACTTTACGTACCTTTTCATTAAGTATCTGCAAATTCTGTTGCTCTGAACTGACAAATAAGCGTTCTTGACGCAAATGGTTGGCTAGTTCGATTATATCCCATTGCAACGTTCCCAAGGATTCTATACTGTTTGCAGACGACATTACTAAGCATACCAAGGGAACAACCAGTACCGTGAAATCACTTTTAGCTCTCTCTGTAGATCCTATTAATGTTTAACGATATTTAACACATCTTCTTAAATATGCTTATTAGTTGTTGCATTATAGCATTGTGTGCAATACTTGATTTAATGTAATAACCATACCTATATCTTGACCAACCAGATAAATGCTTTTTATCTTCTTATTTAACAGAAAGTTTTGTGAAGAATAGTGCAATTGTTGAAAAATACGAAAAAAAATACTTTAACTAATCACTTCTACCAATATCCTATTTTTTTCTTTAAATGTACGATAACCTTCTTAGTTCGACCAAGATATTGTTCAAACCGGTAGTTACGCGTTATTGCTTACAAAATCACCGTTCTTTATCATTATCCTTTTTATCTTGAAACAATATTCGCACCGACGCACAATTATTTTCCATTTCAGGTTAGAATTTTCTTCGACAAATGGCTGCACTTGTACTTTAAATCGAAAATAATATCTTAATACGACTGTTCGATTACTCGACAGCGGTTTGCAACCTGAATCAAGAATTGAATCGTTTGCCGAAAACCAAAATGTTTTTATTTAAAATTAAGCTTAAAATTTCCATACATTCCAATAATATCGCTCTCGGTTGAAAATACATATGTGTATCTGCTGTTTTATTTCAGGTTGGTTAACAACTCAAAGGGAAATAAAAATACAAATTTTTAACTTACTTCAAGGAGAAATTACTTCTTTTTGAATGCTTTCCTTTCTAATTCAAATTTCATATTCAAATGTCACGTATTCGTGAAAAGAAGATACCAAATGATACAGTTCTTTCTAGTAAAGTTTAAAATATATGCACATACGTGTGTCAAGTGTTACGTATGTATAGAAAGAGTATGCGTGGACATACGCTTGTCGCGTCGAACAAAGTTCCTTTGGAAAATAATTTATACAACTTGTACACGATACAATGTTTAAGCGATCGATCAACCTTTAGTTACTTCTGACTAAGCTTCTGTGATTAATTGCCAAATTTTGTTATTATTTGTACTGCCTCAAGAACAACATTCGGAAGAAAATTTATTCGTGTATTATTGAACAGGTTACTGATAATGAGAAGCCGCAACAGTGATTCTTAATTTTAAAAGAAACCCAAAAAGAAAAATGACAGACATTATTGTTGAAATTAAGAAGTTCATTTCTGAATGTTGGACAAGTATTTTTACAAACGTATGCGACGCAGTTGTTTACATAGATCATTGCGCTATTGAGTGCTTGCATTGGTACACTGCCGGTGAAGGGTACTTAGCATTGAAAAATGCTGGAGCAGTTGCAGTTTATGAGTTTGGCATGTATCATTTTCAAGTATGTATGCATAATTCATAAATATATATTTGTAAAAGCTTAAAATAATGCACGTAAAATCTTTTTTATCAATAGTACGTTCAAGTCAAAGGTACCAAGAAAGCTGTTGTAATTTCAACATCTGGCAATCCAGCATTTTACCAAAGAACAATAAAAATGATTCTGGCCAAGAATGTATTCGAAAGCTGTATAGTTTATTGTGGTGCTCCTTGTTGCACTACCAATCATTTAGGAACATTCGGAGGAATCAAAGAGAAATTAAATTATAATAAATTAAAGAGCGACATCAAGGCTTGGATGACATCTGAAAACCTTTCTCAAGTTTGCTAATTATTCCTTTATTTTTATTTACTTTTCAAATTTATTATAAATTATTTCAATTATAATTAAGATAAGCTTGTTTCTATAGGAACCTACTGTCAATATTATATATATGCCAATTTTTCTTGCCCTTTTGAATAAGGGTCTGTTTGTAACACCTCCTTTTGGTGATCTCATGCCACCTTTGGATGCAAACATTTCAAACGATACATCTACCAAATTGAATCTTCTGGCATATTCATTTATAACTAGCATTGACCATAGAAATGTAAGTGGTAAAAAGGGTAAGGTAATAAAGAAATAAAAAGTCAGTTACTCGTTATTGCTTTTTATAGCATTTATCAGAAACTTCAGAAATAGGGGTTTCTCTTATTTTGATCGACAGAACATTGGATCTTTGTACACCTACTAGTAACAATACGGAATCTTTCCTCACAAAAATTTTACGAACATTTTCTCGTTTGTCGCATCACGATAATGATATAGCCATTGATATGTCACCTGTGTTTGGACCAATAACGGTAAATATAGATTATCCATGTATCGTAAAATAAACGTAACTATTTTTATTAATTTATTTAGATATTTGTTAGTTTTTCTTCGAGGTTTTTTTTTTTATGGTTTCAAGGAAGTTTTACAAGCTTGCGAAATACCAGGATGTTTAGCAAGTATAGAAACAGCTATGATGGATCTCTTTATATCACAAAAAGAAAAAAAGTTATTAAGCGTTGCCAATCAATTTTTAAACGACATCCCCTTAACGAAAGATAGTCCAAAGTTAAGAACGCCAACGAGAATTTCTGGTCATAGTTTAGAGATAGTTCTTAATAAAATGATAACTACAGATAGTATTGATTTTACGATGATTCATAAAGGAAAACTTGAGGTGATTTTCGACTTTTTCATTTCCGTTTCTCTACACGTATGTATATAGCCGGGAACATTTCTCTCTGCAACTTTTTAATTATACCGATTTTGAAATGCAGTGTATTCTAGCAATAATTGAAGCATCAACGTCACAAAAAGTCGGCCAGCTGGAGTTACTGACTAGTTTAGAGAAATTAGTTTTGCAAAATCTTTCCGTCAGTCGAGAATCATCGAGTATACTCATACAGGTAATATTCATTCCCTCTTACACCCGTTTATAATCTCGTCCACTAAGGATAAATCAATTTTTTAGCTAAGTAATATTATACGAACGCGAATTCACAAAGGACTTGACATTGAAAATTTATTAGCATTACTAACACATGTTTACGCTCTTGCGGGAACACAAATTCGATTTTCCACACAGCAAGAACACCAATTGGAAGAGTCAATTGCGGATGCAATTTTCGAAGACTTTCAAATTTTAAAAAGAAATCCATTAACTAGTACGAAATCGGCTTATCAGCGTACTTTATTACTATTAGGTAAGTGCCGTTTAATTACTTCCTAATTTAATTTACTTTAATTTACTTCCTATTCTAGAATATCCTAAAATAACACTTGTGAGTTATTTTTCCGTTAGGAGTGAACGATGTCGCTGTGGCGCGAGAAACTTCCTATAGGATTGCATCGCGTGTCATCGATACTCTACGATTAGTCGCGGAACAACGTTCAATACTACAAGATTACAAGTGAATTTCCATTTTTTTCTCTAAACATTATTAGCAGAACTTTTTCATATTCGAATGTCAATTTTATCAATAATCAACGTAACAATTAATATCGCAGATATTGTATGCTGAAACCGAGCTCTCAAGATCCGATCCGATGCATTGGTATTTTAGAACAAATAACAAAGGATATATGTTGCGCAGGTGAAGCCCGAGAACTGCGGGATCTTCATAAAAAATCATCTTCGCTCATTTCAGCTGGTTTTAAGTAAATATTTTCTTAACAATTTATACAACCGAATTACTAACGTGTGGCGTTACGTGTAAAGACTCTGTGAATCTTTCTTGCATTTCAGTTTAATTTTGAGAGGTAAAACAAAACGGTATCCTCATGACAATCCCTACATTTTAATATACATCGTTGGAGGTATTACCGCGGAAGAGGCAAAGGTAGTTCAAGAAGTAGTATCTGTGCACAATAGCGAGAAAACATGTATAATGTTAGCAGGCTCCAGACTGTTAAATCCATTAGATATCGTGGATAAAATATTTTTCTGTTAATCACTGTCTTTAGAGAAGCCTATAGGTATAATAAAATTCATCCCTTGCCTTCCTCAATTTCCCATTTTATACCATTCAATGAAATGGAATAATATATTTTTCTAATAGTCTGTATTGTTTCTAGCTTACACGCAAGATGTTGCGAATCGTGCATCCTGCACAACTGTATTTTATAATCAATGTTATTCAGAAACTGATTCGTAGACTTTTTCCCTTTATCGTGCATATTTTCGTATAGTTTCGTGTATATTGTTACAACGTTGAATCGGGTTGTGTGCGTTCTGATAAGTTTCAATAATTTCCTTATGTAATTATCAATTGTGCTGATATTATCTTCACGATCTTGCCAATAATACGCTGTTATACTGTCAATGGCTAAAAGAGCGATTTTAGCATTGTCAAGAAACATATCGTCCAGCATGCGCAGTGTTAGAGAAAATTGTTCATTGTCGTAACAATCGAGAATGCGCAAGTTACGCAAAGAATTTTGAATAATAGCCGTTTTATTAGAATTTATTTCAGTCGCTTTATCGTTTGATGCGAACGATACGATACCAGTAACATCTATGACATCGCTCATCAATTCAACTAATTTTGAAATTTGAAAATGATGATCTGTATTTATGAAAATGGCCGAAGCATTGCAGCCTTCAATTTGGATGGTTCCATAATAATCTGGAAGAATGCATTTTGCGAGCATTTGAGACAGAAGAAGGGTCTTTCCCGTTGATTGCTCTCCGCCGATTTCTATGACGTCCGAGTTTTGAGGACCTTCGGGAAATAAGGTATTTTCGAGGCCGAACAGACTTGGTTTACTACTCAGCCTTGCGAGCAATTCCGCACCAGATTCTATTTGTGATCGCATAGCTGTTCTTTCTCTTTATTTTATCATTTAACCCCTTTTCCTTTTCTATTTTAACCGTTTTTACTTTATCGTTACGTTACCATTGAGTTTTTGCTCTATTATACGTTTCGTCCCTAATAAATCAGCTGCTGTCCGATCTCACGCACGCACACACACACGCGCGCGCACGCATGCATACGTTCGAATACGAAATATTTATGCAATTAAAATTGGTAAATGATAAACTAGAAATAATGACGCGCGATGAAACATATATCACAGCTACTGTAATATTTTAAATAATATGATTTAATTAAAAAAAATCACAGTGTTCAAGCATTACGAATAAAATGAAAAATGAAACAACACGCACTAGAGATGGAGAAATATCGATGACATATTGATAGTTTCCGCTATCGAAAACAATCGATGTTTTTCTTTATGACTATCGATAGTTTCCATACTTTTGTCTAGTGATTGTGTATAGTTTGTTAATCTGAATTTATATTTTAGATAATAAGGATCACAAAGTATTACATAATATCGGGTAGAAAATTAAGAATTAAAGCAAAAACTGTTAACATGCTTGTTTGTTTTAAATAAAAATCAGTGACTCTTTTTTTAAACTATATGCTGTAAATATTTCGAATTTATAAATTTCTTTTACATATGCAAGAAATAACATTTATTTTCCAAGCTAAATTTAAAAAAAATCACGATTCTCATCTTTCTTTAAAATTTCTTAAAAAACGCACAAAATCATAATCAAATGTAAGTATTTTCGATGATTATAGTAAGTAATCGATAATTATCGATAATTGGGTATCAAACTATCGATAACTATCGATATTTCTCCACCTCTATCTACAACGCACTGAATTATGTTTGTACCTTTTTCCTAATCGTTTCGGATACACCCAATGCCTATATCTATATCTATGCCTACTTACATATATCTATAAGTGAAGAGGTGCTACTAATATAGAAACTGAAAATTCCCGAATTTCTGCTAAAATTTTGTAATCTTTTGAGCTATATTCGAAAGCTTAGACACTTAAACATTAGTTTTCAACAGTTTTTCTGTTGATGTTTCGCTTAATTTATTAGTCGCACATATAATTATTTTAAGATTACACATACGTGTGACAAATTGTTACATACATATACACTATATGTATACAAAAGTGTATGCAACTTGGTACTTCGTTGCAATATTTCATTTTGTTTTTGTTTATATTACACATCGTGCAACTAGTTACATATATTGTTGTTAACTCCAGATGTAAAATCCAGATTCATTAATACAAGCAAAACTGCATAAATAGAGGAATAGAATGAACAATCGAGACTTAAGACCTGTATCGCATACAGTCCTTAGGGCTTTATTTCATGCTTGAGATTCGTTGACTCGTTACAGAACATTGTGTGTCACGAAGGTAGCGATTTTATTGTTTTTCTCCTTTGTCATGTACGTGCTTATGTGGGTGCCAGTGAATGTTAAAAAGCATTTCCCACGGATAGTAAAAATGCCTTATTAGTAAGGTTTATATACAAATGAAAAGAGATAAATACGAAAATTGATGGAGAAGAGCAAGATCGGGGAATAGAAAAGAAATTGGTGTTCGGAAGTTTCACGAACGATAGATGATTTTTTGATTCAACGCTCGGTAGGTAGCGATAGTCAACACGACTGCTCGATGATCACATGTGCGTTTAGTGATTTGAAGAAAATGTAAAGAGATATCGCTAATTGGTGGATATATTACGAATCCAAGATGCAGTTCGTCATAATTATTTTAAATAAAGGAATTTGAGAGAAATTGTCTTAAGGAGAAAACGTTCTCTCTTTCCGGACTTTTATTTGAGGTTTGAATGGCAAGTGCGGTAAACATTGTTAATGTTTTTCCGTGTAATTTATCGTAACTTTTCTTTGTATGCGCGCTTTAGTTTTCATTTTACAAGCTGATACATTTGCCCAAATTCGTTTAAAAATGGTGCCACTTGGACCATCACCAGGGCATCAAACGTCTGTCAACAACACTACAACTGCTCCTGCCACTGGAACTAAAAGTAGCTCAACATTGGTAAGTAAAGTCAATATCGTTTCGTTCCTTTTCGTTCTTCGATATTATTTTTATTAATTTCTCGTTTGATTTTCTTTAAAAATGATCCTCTTAGAATCATCGCTCCTATTTCTTTTTTATTTTTCCAGAAACCGAATTACACTCTGAAATACACATTGGCAGGTCACACGAAAGCAGTTTCTTCTGTAAAATTTAGTCCTAATGGAGAATGGCTTGCGAGTTCTTGTAAATAGAAATATTTTAATTCAACATCAATTTGAGCAATAAGATTCAATATTTTTAACTTATAAATTCAAATGAATGTAATTGATCTTTTTGTTCATAGCTGCAGATAAATTAATCAAAATATGGGGATCCTATGATGGAAAATTTGAAAAAACAATATCAGGTCATAAATTAGGTATTTCGGATGTTGCATGGTCCAGTGATAGTAGATTATTAGTATCTGCTTCGGATGATAAAACTTTAAAAATATGGGAATTAAGCTCCGTAAGTTTATATTTGAAAGTATATTGACAAAATGTTCAGAATTGAATGTAAATTCATATGAAGCATTTTAAAATGCTAAAATACATTGTGCATTTTAGCATTTTAAAGGCAAAGTATGGTATATCCAGTGTAAATAATGAAACAACATGAAGAATCCTGGTTTTTTTTTGTGTTCCGTTTTCAGGGAAAATGTTTAAAAACTTTGAAAGGTCACAGCAACTATGTTTTTTGTTGTAATTTTAATCCACAGTCAAATCTAATAGTTTCTGGTTCTGTAAGTATTTCCATATGGTACATTTGTGATTTTGTAGAAGAATGGTGTGCAAACTCCTGAGTTATTAGTGCACATAAGTTCATTGAATAATAATATAATATAATATGCTATAAAACAAATGTTTCTATAATGTTGTTGAATATTATAAAAAATAACTTATGCGTTTATGTAAAAAGAAGTTTGCACACACAAAGAGGCGGCGTGGGCGTGAACAATATTAATCGAATGAACATTAATCAGTTCGACGAAAGTGTTCGAATATGGGATGTTAGAACTGGAAAATGCCTAAAAACGTTACCCGCTCATTCGGATCCTGTAAGTGCTGTTCACTTTAACAGAGACGGATCATTAATTGTGTCCAGCAGTTACGACGGATTATGGTAAATATGCACATTATATTTAATATACGAATTGTCTGCACGTTAAAAGATGAAGAAATAAGTCGGAATTATACTACGAAATGTACCGTTATACAGTCGAATTTGGGATACAGCATCTGGCCAGTGCTTGAAGACTTTAATAGACGACGATAATCCTCCTGTATCTTTCGTAAAGTTTTCACCAAATGGAAAATACATTTTAGCAGCAACGTTAGACAATACGTTAAAGCTTTGGGACTATAGTAAGGGAAAATGTTTAAAAACTTATACAGGGCATAAAAACGAAAAATATTGTATCTTTGCAAATTTTTCGGTTACCGGAGGAAAGGTAAGAAAGGTTGCTTGTTGTGTGTTTCTGCATAGAACACGTATGCTTGTTCGATCTATGTTACCGATAAATTGAATGAAATTGATACTGTTCAATTATATTTTACCGTTGATCAGTGGATTGTTTCGGGTTCCGAAGACAATATGGTATATATATGGAATTTGCAGACCAAGGAAATTGTTCAAAAACTGCAAGGTCACACAGGTATAGTAGATAAATGATAGTTAGCGTTAACATATGGCGTACCGATTAATTTTTCTATCGATTCGTAGATGTTGTACTGTGCACGACGTGTCATCCGACGGATAACATTATAGCTTCAGCTGCACTTGAAAACGATAAAACTATCAAATTGTGGAAAAGTGACACGTAGAATGGACATGTTATCGATGATTTCATTAAAAATCCTACAAAATACGTTTGTATCTTTTAGAAACGTCCTACGCTCGTCTTTCATCTTTTCCTAATTTTCGATCGTGATGAAACTACTGGTCATTTTGATGGGTAATTCGCGTTCATAGCGATAGAAAAAAGGGTAGAATTTTGTTTTTGTACAGCTAGGATCAATATATTATATTTTTGGTGTACACGAAAAAATGTGTGCTTTAATAATACAGTATCAATTTATAGAGATTTCCTTCGTAGCTGAATGAATTGAAACTCTATTATGCATCGAATTCGTGGTGATCGATTTGAGAAGTAACGAGAAACGAAAGAAATTGACACGTCCCTAAAATGATAAGCTTTCAAGTGAACTGCTTGTCTTTAAAAGTTTCGAGATATTTGTTTTCTGTGGCCGTTCGATTTATTTTCGTAATTGTTTACAATTAAGCGGTTCATGTGATATCGGATGGGTGCATCGACATTGCGTGCGTATAACGTCTTCAAATATACGAAAGAATAAAGAGAGATTAGTTAAAGAAATGGGAGGAAACGGATAAAATAAGTTTTTGTAACACGTAAATAAGTTTATATGTAAAGAAAGTAATAAAAAAGAGAATATATATACACACCACATACACAAAATTTTCCTACCTGTAATTAGACGTAGTGTAATTTGTATCTTTTTAATTACGAATTAGGGTGTAATCGATTAATCAAAAGGTACAGTAACCGCTATCGGACTGAAGGAGTAACTATAATACGTTATTTCGTATTTTATTAAAGCACTTTACTTTTTTTTTTTTTTAAACGTACAATCATAGAATCGAGTAACAACACGCGATACACTGAATGGATTTTTGTTCCTATTGAAAGCAACGAGTAACTCGCAATTTACAGAGAGCGAGTGTATTAGAATTAATTACTTTCACCTATTAATGATAGAGGTAATTGGTAATTTAGCAGAGGAGCTTTGTTATAACTTATTAAAAGTTTTAATAAGACAAATGACAGTAATGTATCTATCTATCTATCTATCTATCTATCTATCTATCTATCTATCTATCTATCTATCTATCTATTTATCTGTCTATCTATCTATCTATCTCTATCTATGTATGCATCCATCCATCTATATACATAGATAGATAGATATCTATATGTATAGATATATAAATAAATAGGCATAAGCAAAGAAAATAAAAGATGGAATTTGGGGAAAATCCTTATATTTATGTAAAAGAGCGAATTTCCTTTCAACAGCGTATTTTTTGTATTCTGTTTAACCAATTCTTCGCAGAATGTCACTTACGTACGATGTAGGATTTGTTATTTCCTCCAATAAGCCTAAAACAAATATAAAAATCTGAAATTTAAGAATTTATTTGAATGTTTATGATGCGATACGATATATGATGCGCATCGGAAACAAACATCTCGATAATCTTTAATATATAAAAGTTGATTCGTTCCGAGAGGGCCATACTACACTCACACTCACATTTTCGCACTCTCCTTCTTCTGAATGAAACTACATACCATTGTTTATACAGGTACACTTTTCCAAACTTACCAACAACATCGCAAAATTCTTCGAAAGATGTACAGGGTAATAGTTCGTCACGGTAAGTAGCAAGCACACGTTCCGAAGCTTTTAACATGGCCTCATCGTTATGTCTAATATATTCAGCCAAAACTGAAGGCCATTGATCATCGGACAGTACGTTAACTTTCTGCGATGAAAAGAGAAGAAGAAGAAGAAGAAGAAGAAGAAGAAGAAGAAGAAGAAGAAGAAGAAGAAGAAGAAAAGAACGTTGTTAACAAGGGGTGGGTTATTAAAAGAATAAGCAAATAGAGCGCGGGTTCGAGTGGGAGGTGTCGTACCTTGAAGAAATTGGCATAAATACAGTCGACTAGTCCGAAGAAGATCAAGGCGGTTTTATATATCGTGTAATGCTTGTCCGTAGCGTCGCCGATGGTTTTCGTCGAACGCGTTGGCGAAAGGTAGCGTTGATGGGCCAGAACAATTAATCTGTTCAGATGTGCGATTCTGTATGCTTTCCAGCGAGCTGGTGTATGAAGTAAGAGTGACATGATGCACTGATAGAAAGGTCCTTCCGCTTCGTAACAACTCTCGAGCCAATTTGAACCTGGTGGTGTTTCTAAATATCCGATTAACGTTTTTTCTGCTCGAGTGGCAGCCCGTGTGCTGCGAAAATGAATAATAACATAGTTAGTAAACGTACAGGTGTAAAGGCAAGGCGATGAAAAGGTTGCATTCTACGTACGTGTTGATAACGTAAAGAGCCGTGTGAATCAAATAAGGAACCAAATGCATATTGGATTGAGGTCCGCCTCCACCGCTGTCTTCATGAAAACTCTTCTCTTGGGCAAATCGCAGTAGCAGTAATTTTAAGTCATGAACGGTCGACGGGTAAGATATGTCGCGATGGCTGGTACACTCTTGCAGATAGGTGTTATGCCTTGCCAAACAGCTAGCAAAAGCGGATTCCAAAACTTGGGGGCCCCACAACGGCAGAAGTCCGTTGCACTTGGTATTCGCATTTTGCAACGCTGCACTCTCCCATTCATCCCTGGCGCGTGCCAATCTAACCGCTGACATATGGCAGTCGACGTGGACAACGTTGAAATGTGTAACGGTCGTGTATCCTACTGTTTTCCTTTGTTTCGTTTCGAATTCTTCAACGTTGCAACGTTTCGAAAAGGTGTAGATGCCTAAAACCTACGAAAGAAGAAAAAGGAAATAACCGATGTACGATGATATATAAGGCATAAAAAAGTTGTTACCCACCATGCTTGGCTTGAATTTGTATCCTTCGCGGCAGATGACACAGACCAATCCTGTTTCGTCACCCAGATCTTCCATTTGCTGAAGAATCGTACCACTGGCCATCACTTGACCCTTGTCGTTCGTTTGCATACCTAACGCGCCCAACTGTCTCTCTCGCATCGCCATTGCTAAACGTTTCTTCTCGCTACGCGTATGCTGTCGGGCTTTCTCGATCAATTCAGCTACGCGTTTGTTCGTGCACAACGCTTCCAAGAGGTTCTCCGCCAAGGAGCCGACGTGTTCGTCAGAGGAGACCTGTTCCAATCTGTGTATTATACTGATGGTGAATTGCGAGACTGCTAGTTGCGTTGGTTCATGATCGGTTGCTAGGCCGGTAAGGAATCGCAGAATATACTTGAGCGCTGGTTTAGAAATGAAGTCTTTCAGTTCGTCGCTGTCGGTTCGCAATAGCGTAGGCTTGACGCACGGGGCGCGTACAGTTATATACTCGAAAGCGTCCTTTACGATTCCCATGTTTATAATGTAGTCTTTCAGGGTGTTCCCGATGGCGTTGCGTTCGATGGCCTGAGTGAGAATGCAGAACAGCTCGAGCTTTTGCTCATCCTCCGGCGTATGTTCATGATCGAACTCGTAAAAGTTTAACACGGGTTTAAAATAATCGCAGAGCAGTGCCATTTTGCCGCGATTGCCGTAGGTAAGGGCGGCGAGTACACGCGCGAGGTGTGGCAACACGTTGCTCTGTCTGACCGCGGTCGATTGGGCGCAAGAAAGAAGGGCCTTTATGTGCTCTGGGCCGCTAGAGGTACGCGAAAAAGCTTCGAGCGTGGACAAGGAAGCATGGGTCAAGATCGTTTCCATGATGTCCAACAGTTGTCCGGTAATTTTCGCCTGGGAATTCTCCGATTCGGTTGCGAGACAACGTTGCAAAACATCGAGAAAGACGGTGACCGCGCCCAATTTACTCAAAACTTCTTGGTTCTTCTTCACTTTCACCGAGAGTCGGAACAGTTTGAGAAGCACTTGAAGCAACGGTCGAGCTCGATTCACGTCTTGTATAGCCGCTAACCTGTTCAACATCACCTCAAGGCCACCGCAATCCGCCAAAACGTTCGCCATCTTGTACACCTCCTCGTTATTCACCTCTTGCTCGCTGTTCACATTCAAGCTTTCGACGAACTCTTCGGTGGCATCCCCGAGTAATCCCCGCATTCGGTACACCACTCGCATAGCGTCGCATTCTCCACCTTCTAGTACCCAGACTTTCTTATATACCTCTTTCACGGGCAAATCAAGACTGATGATTTTGTTATTGACCAAAAGTTCCATTCCATTGTCGTCCTCAAGCAACGCGACCAGCTCGCAATCCTGACAAATCTTATTCTTCACGTCTCTCATCAGCGGTCCCAAGCCAGACTCTAAGCTGCTGTACGGATTGCCCAACATTCTACCCTGAAGAAAATCTTCTTGCTGCGAATCCTTCTCAAGGGTGAGGAAAAATTCACCGACGTCGTTCTCCTCCGGGTAAATGATCGAGCAGAGCCTCTCGAAGATAAACACCGGGGTACATACATCTTCCACGCTGTACTTTTGCACCGTCTCCACGCAGATTGCCATGAAAGCTTTCGTCTCCTCCTCGGTGCCGGTGGTCATTTCCTCAAGAAGCTCGAGCAGCTTTTCCTGCGTGTCGTCGATCAGTCTTGTTCGCTGTACGACCAATCTCCTCAGGGAAAGATAACCATTCAAGACCGCGCCTACCAGACGACCTTTGTATTGTTGTTTGATGCTCTCCTGTTCGAGGAAGGTCGCCATCAGTTCGGTGAGCATCTTCAGGGAATAACCTTGCGCCAAATCACTGGTCAAAGTAGTCTCTTCGAGCCGATGCAACTCCTCTATCTCCCTGGTCAACAAATCGGCGAGTAAAGTCATCACGCCTCGTACCGCCAAAAACTGTTTCCACGGCGGTTGTTTGATCAAGCTTTGGTACAATGTGAGGAACTCTGTGCTACTTTCCCCGGCCGTGCGCAATTCCTCCAAGTAACAGGTGAGCAACACCAACACCTCCTTCTTCCGTTCCGTCCCTTGGCACAGACTCTCGATCATATTGCAAGCGACTTGTCGTGCTAGCCGTGAACTCGGATTGAACAACACCTCCTTGAGCCAAGCGTCATCAGCCAGTTTCA